TCTCCATCAACCTCCAAATGTGGAATTGCATTGCTATTTTGGAACAATGGAACTTCAGGAGGTGCAGGGGCGTCAAACGGCCGCTGGTTATGTCCAGGTGTTGCAGAGAGCATCCCTCATGACTGAGGGCCTTTGTCTTTGTGGTAATGACCGGGTTTTTTTTTTTTTAACAGGACAACGCTACAGTACTCAATGCCCACAGGACAAGGGACTTCTTCCAGGAGAATAACATCACTCTTTTGGACCATCCTGCGTGTTCCCCTGATCTAAATCCAATTAAAACCCTTTGGGGATGGATGGCCAGGAAAGTTTCCAAAAATGGACTCCGTCTTCACCACTCTTCCCACTCACCTCATCGAAACCCTTGCTTTTTAAAGTGAGCAACAATAACGGTGAAGCTACTTATTGAGTTCATGTTTGGAACTTTGTTTTTATTTCATTTTATTGATCAGCATTCAAATATCTCAATGAATACAGAACAAAGATCTACCACAAAGCAAGAAAGCATGAGACAAGGCTAATCAAAAGGTATTGGCTGAAGCATTTGCTTATTACGCCAACCCTTTTAACAAAAGATTTTGGGGGACTTATGAGTGTTTTGGAGGTGTGGTCCTAAACTTTTGATCAGCTGTTTCAGTTTCAGCATTGCTTTCAATAAATTGCATGCTCAAAAAAATGTTTTGTCTTTCTCCCGTTTCTTCTTGTTGCGTGTTGAAGCTCTACTTGGAACCTTGTGATGCTCCAACAATGATTTATCTTTTTATTTTTTATTTTTGCCATTTTTCAAGTGCTCTTAAACTTTTGATCAGGACTGTAACTGCCCACTACTAGGCAGAGGAGGCCCCCTACTGGCCTCATGTATGGGACTGATAACAAGTGATAAGTTATTCAGCGGGCTGATAACGTATGAAAAAAGTGGACATCCCGACATTCAGAGAGATTTTCCACAGACGTTAGAGCGAAACGTATTCGCCTTTTTCCTTTGACAGCTTCAGAAAGTCCTCACTGCTCGGCAGCCAGAACTTCATGTTTAGAATCAGGAGTCAAATTTTAAAAAATCTTTGACAAAAATTTGTCCCATAATAATAAGAAAAAGTCTTTCCACCCCACAGGTCATAGTTCTGATAAGCATGTCTGCTATCAGTGAGCGTCACTGTGTTCCTGCATCAAAGAGAACAACAGGCACATATTTGTATTTAGGTTTCTTAAGCTGATCTGTCTCTCCTTTGTCACATTTCTGGCCTTGAACACTTGCGTTATCTCCACTAAGCTGTTGCCTTGAATGCTTCTCCAGCGTTTTTTTGTTTTTTAAAGAATGCTTGTTTACTTTTTAAAAGCATACCACGCAGTTGACGATAATAACATCGAGTGACATCCCTGCTCTAAAAACCTAAAAGCTGGAGCTGAAGCTAACCCGTCCCTTACTTAAGCTCAAAATTAGGGACAAAACAGTTCATTTTAATTGCTATTGGCAAAGGTCACCTATAATTATCCTCTTCATTTGACCACAAACTGTGTCCTGAGACGCTCTCAGTGTTCAGTGGCAGTAAGCTGGCTTTCCAGCTGCTAATATAGACGGCTGCTTACAGAAGCATGTCTTTATAATTGCATGCACCGCTCAGACATGCTGTTTGCTGCACTCAACCAAAGAAGAAGAAAAACCGATTTTGATGAATGTGCCTCTACAAAGAAAAGAATTTATATACAGTGTTTTTTTGTTTTTTTTCCCTTAACCTTCCATCACTTAACAAACAGGCCAGTATTATTTTCATAACAAGTATTGATTGCATCAGCGCAAAAAGCTTTCTCAGCAAATTAGGTGTGTGTATATCAGGTGCAATGTATGTGTGTATAGTTGTGGAAAATTCTGCTCTTTAAGCAATTGTGTATCTCGGTGTGTGTGTGTGTGTGTGCGCGCAGTGGGGCGTATATATGCTCATTTTAGAACAAATAAAAGCACATATTGTACTTGAATGTTTTTGCAAGCGCAGAAATGTCAAAGGTGCATTACAAGCATTGCTTTTCTACTTCAGAGCACTAACAGGATCACGTTTTCAACTTTAAAATGTCACCCGAGGAGGCAATTTTGTGCATACATATTTTCAATACAATAAATTCAAGTGCACGACAAAAAAGCAAAAACAATCCCGTTTTCATTCTCGGAGTCTTGAATAACATTGCTTTGTCTGTGCCGTGACCAAACCAGCTTTAGTGCAGATCTGTCGGTTGGATCTCATCACACTCCGTCTATTTAAATAGACCGGGTAACCATCATAAATCAACTTGTGGTGGACGCTTGTGTTTTTACCTGCAGAAGTAGTGTTTTGTGATTAAACCTAATCAGCAAATTCAAGGAAAAGAAGAACGCGTGATGATGAAGTGCAAAACAGAAAGCTCCAGGTGTCCTGGCTGATAAATGGTAGGTGTCCACTGGTGTGTATGCACAGAGTTCATGCTGTCACAGAAGGAAGATGCTCATTGAGTTAGCTTCTAGCAGAGAGTGGCTGTAGGAGGACAGCAGGTGTCAGTGATGACAGACTCTGACCTGCACCTGATTGGGTGAACACGTCATCCAGGCAGTCTGCTTCCACCCTTCAAATGTTCTGTTTATGCACACAGTTCTCTAAAAACGTCTTGGATGCAAAATGAGCTCCACAGAAGCCATTTTCATTTTTGATCGGCAAAAGCTACATTCAAAGCTTCTTTTTTTTGGGCGGATTTTCCCAGAGGCATCAAATCACGCTACATGCATAGCATGCCCTAAACTTCATCTCTTCAGGAAGATTAGAAGTTTTTCACCTTGATGCTTGAAATTCACTAGCAGGGTGTATAGCATGGCTGGTTACGCAGACGGCGACTGGGAAG